AGATTTTCATGTAACTTAAGGAATGACTAGTTTTAGAAATTTGTACTCTCAATGAAACTGGTTGGTTTACTGACTTTTTCTGAAAGTTATTTGATATTTAAAATCTGTCAGACACCTTTCTATCTTTATCCATGAGAAATTAGGGCTGTTTTATCAATGATTTCTGGAAAGTTACATTTAGAAAGAGTACTTGGTCATTCTAGGCATTTTCCCAAATCTAATTTAAATCCATTTTTTCCTGTGGTCTATTTCAGAGGCTTCAATTTAGGATGGGGCAGGGATTTCAAAGAAGGGTTTGTGAAGAATAGAAGGTGCCAGAGACCTGTGGAATTGTCAGGCTCTGGGTCTGGATACCTCCACTTACGAGTAGTCTGCTTTTATATATATATACCATTTCTTTTGAGAATTCGAAAACCATAGTTGAAAGGTGACAATATACAGTAGGAATAGTAATAAAAAGTTCTTAAAGAACTGGTTATCATTATTTTCCTCTTTCCAACTGTTCTTAGCAAACAGGCTACCCTACAAACCATCCTGAAAAGTTAGATTGCAAGGACCTGTCTGATTATGACTTTCATTAGACAAGCACTAATAACCAGAGAGATTCCTATCCCTCATCCAATTTCCTGTTCTATCCCTTCCCATTTATATTCCATTATAATAACTATAATAAAGTAACCAGAGGTACAGCTGGCAAGATCTATTTTATTTTATTTTTTGGTACCAGGAATCGAACTCAGGATCTCACACTTACTTGCCAGGCAGGAACTGCACCGCTGAGCCATGTCTCAGCAGCCCAAGATTTATTTTAAAATATTTGATTTTGGAAAGGAATTTCTGGGGAATATTGCTTAGAAATGTATTTTATTTACTTTTGGATTTCAGAGTTAGGAAGCAATCCTGTCTTAAACAAAGGCTGAAGACACAAGATGTGGGGATGAGGAGTTACATTCAGTAGAAGATAGGAGCGGGAGGCGGGAATGAAACCTAATACAAGAGTTGGTTATTTTTTTGCTTCTCTGTGGATGAAGCTCAAGGTGAGGACAGGAAATTTATAGAAAGGGCAATTTCCAGTGTACCAGTGGTTAGCACCAGAGGGCCCAGATGTATTAGGCAGTCTAATAGTTGGGCTGAGCCCAGTAACTAGATGTCCCAAGTGGTGCTTTTAAAGACAGGTGGAAGGCAGGTATCATCTAGAAGTTCTCTCAATGATTAAAGGGTCCTTGGGCACTAAATTAGTGCTAAGGGCAGAGTGTTGGGCCATGAGATTGAAAAGATCTAGGCAAGGTCCTTGCATAGTTAGTTGGGACATCAGTGGCTTACTGGTGTGAGTACACATGAAGACAAAAACAAAAGTCTCACACTACAAACTGGATAACATGGGGCAACTCTAGGTCTTTGGTGCCTTAGGGCAAGGACACTGTTACTAGAAAAGAGGAATACACAAGGGACTGCACTGCATCAGAATGACTTGGGAGATAGGTAGTGAGCACCAGGATCCATTTCATGGATGACCAAACTGGAAGGGTGAAAGGAGCCACTAGAAAGTGAGATGATCATGTGTCAGGATGTGAGGCAAGGCAGTCAGGTAAAATGAAGCTGGGGTAGAGTACTGAGAAAAGTTAAAGCTATGGTGTGACTTTAGGGTTTTTGTCACAATGGATAATGGTCATAAAGTCTTGAACCTAAAGACAAGAGCTAAGTAAATCTATTGGTTGTTTAAGTTTAGTGGAAGAATAATTAAATAGTTTGACCTCCAAGAAATGCAGTTTAGTAATAATCTTTGACAAAGACTGTAAACAGAGAAGGGAGTTGCTATAAACATAGCTAGCTCATTCTTTTTGTGCATATTTTTAGTTAAGTAAACTTCTGATGGTCTTTGGTCACATTCTTACATTTTATTTTAGAGTCCCCCCAGGTGCTGGGTAAGTGTTCAGAGGGATACAGTTCAACTCTGGGTTATTGAGAGAGTTGGGCTTTTAGCCCCATGAAGATCTTGATGATTGCTGAAAGAAGGCCTTAGAATTGAGAAATGAAATAATTTTATGAAGACGGCAGACCAGTCCTTTAATACAAATCCCTTTATTTTTACTTGCCAACACTAAGAGTTTGGTTTAGTTGGGTGGCACAAATAATTCAGAGGCTGTTCTTGGTAGTCTGAAAGGTACCTAAAAATGTCTATATGTTTTTGGCATGTAGGATTTACAGACGTTTAAGGGCAGAAGGATTTCCTGTAAATACGATTTGTTTAATGTCAAGGTACAAATGTCTAGGGTGCAACCAAAACTCAAGAAACTGGATTTCTAGTTTACTGTTGTTACCATTATCATTCCTATCCTGTTCTGTCCTATCATCTCACATGACAACTTCAGACTAAAAAACAAAGTCAAAAAGCTTTAATCTTAATTTAATTTTGCAATCGGTAAGTTATTTACTAAAATAATTAATAATGGACATTTTAGTTTTGTTTGATGTGGTACTGGGGATTGAACCTGGGCCTTGCTCGTGCTAGGCAAGCACTATACCAGTGACCTATATCCTCAGCCCAAGGGGCATTTTAGTAATGCTAGTGCTAGTTTTGTTATCCCCATCTGTACAAATTCCAAATTTATCAGTTTAGTTTCCTACTTTAATTTTCAATTAGTGGCGATAAATTCTATGCAAATTTTTAAAAATTGTATTTACCGAGTTTTGCTGAAAAGTTTTTATTTTCCCTTTCAATTTTCTGGTAGAAAAAAAAGATCTGATGGATTTTTATTTTTTAGGACAAACTATCCTAAAATATTTTTCCTTTACCCCATATACAGAAAAAGAAAGGGATTTTTGGGCCTTTGTCATCTTGGTGTAATCCTTATGCTAGTTTTGCAGTGATTTCTGCTGTGCATTTGAACGATGTTCATATATGAAAGTGGTCTGCATTAGGTCATGGCTGAGGGCAGAGACTAATTAGTGAAAAATAGGCCTGCTCTTGAGATTTACTACACAGTAAGATTTCTCATCTTCTTGCAAAAATGTGGAATTAGCTTTTTGAGAAACGCAGACCTGTCATGACGCTGAAGGGTGAGTTTTGGTGGTGGGAAACACAGCTTTCTCTACGGCAGTTCTGATTGGTTAGATCCTAGAGCAGTCCTTTGGAACAGCAAAGTTCTTTTCTTCTCACTTTCAGGTCCGTGTTTCCCAGTGTCACTAGTTTTACCAGTACTTCAGAGACAGCGTCTTATTTGGCTTCTTTGAAGACCACTTGATCCAAACTGGGGACTGGTCTAGGAGAGGTCCCCTGGGACTCCCTCCCATTTCCCCTCTCTAGAACAGGCTGTTACAGCGAAAAAGCCTTCTATTTGGAAAGAACATTTGCTACTGCAAATCTATGCCGCACTCGAGGGGGACACATGATATGCGCCAGTGCTTATGTATGGCAAAGGTGCAAAGTAGAACATTGGACCTTAGTTCCAACTGCAAATGGTTCTTCAGCAAGACACGGATGGATGCTCCAGGGTTCTCAAGCCACTATAAGGGACCCGGGCCCTCGTGGCCCAAGGATCCACGTTGCCGTTGAGGCCAGCCCCGGGCGCTGTGATGAAGGTTTCTTCCTCCTGGCCTCGTGGTGGCTGCCCTCCTGGGTCACAGCTCTGCTCACACAGCCCCAGGGCCCACCCTGAGGCAGCCTGCAGTGAGAGGCGGCCCGGTCCCGCCCCTGCCACCCTTAGCTCCAGATCCCCAGAGGCACCCCCTTGGGGGGTCCACAAACCCCGCGAGGTGACCTGTCCGAGGCTGGCTGGGCTGGGCGCCCGGGACGCACCCCCGAGGGAACCTGCGGGCCTCGGGTCCCCCATGGCGGGCTGGCCGTCTCCACCCGCAGGGTCCC